GGGGGGGGGCGGAGAAATGAATTTTCTAATCGGGGGAGCCCCTCCGCGCTCACTCGACGCCGGGGAANTCCCGGATTTTTTTTCACTCTCGATTAATTTTTTAAAGATTCAAATTGATACTTGATTCATTCACATCGTTCCATTCCATCGGGAGATATTGTCGATTGGAGACAATTTTTTATGGTCACTGAAGGAGGCAAACCATTCATCTAAATCTCGCAATAATCTGCGAAAAATCTTATTCATTAATCTATTATTATTGAATTAATCCCATTATGTGTAGATCGCTGGAGAACAACGAAAACGTTCCAACCGTTCAAGCGAGTTGGAATGTTTTCTCTCTCCTTCTTCTCCATTTTCTTTCTCACTCGCACTCGTTAAGTTTGGCGGAGGACGGGCACGTGCCAACGCGACGGAAACGACAATGAGTGGCAGCGAGCGCGACACATATTCCTTTCTCAAATATATATAATCGAACATTACTATAGTAAAAAAAAAACAAAATCTGCACAATTATTCAATAGAATCACTGGAAAACTATAGAGTTTTCCAGCGACAGCGCTGGGATTTTCTATGAATTTTTTGACCTACGTGTCAATAATAAATATGTCGAGAAAAAGGAAAAGAGTTTTAGACCATTAGATTCTGCATTTATTATACTATTGATTATAATGTGTTCGATTTTACATTCCTGACAATTATTACAAAATGCGAGGAGTTACCGTATTGAGAACCCCTTTCCGGTTATCGACAAATTTATGCTCGGGCCCTACCATACCAACAGTTCCGTACGCTCCATCGTAGTCCATGCGCCACCGCTACGAATTTTGCTGTTGAACACGTTACATTGGCCCTGCTCATCTCCCCTACAATCTCTGCTCCTTCCTTCTTTTCCGGTTGGCCGTGTAACCTCGCGTGCTTGTTCTCTCTTCGAGCTAAGGCCGCACCGGCGACTTGCACATTTTTAAAAATCCATCCACAAGGTTTGACGATAAATAACGTTCGGTAACATGTCCACAAAGGCTGAGCTCGCTTGCGTTTACTCCGCACTTCTTCTCACCGACGATGACATCGCCGTTACTGTAAGTGATCGTTACCGTCGTATTTGGTTTTCTGGAGTTTTTATATTTGGAGGATTTCATTGTGTTAATTATATTGTTTTTTATAGTTTGGGGAGGTGGGAATTGTTGTGGCATTGCGAATCAATTTGATGAGATTTTATGATTAATTGTGGGGATCATGAGCATGGAGTGGTGATGTTTGGGAACTTGAAGAGGTTAGAAACATTCTTGATATCGGGCATGTATTTCATAAATGAAAAAAGTTTAGAAATTGTTACTTTGTAGTTTTGTGTTCAAATATCTGAGGATATTTTGAACAGATTTAATGCAATTTCGGGGAGAGTAGGACAAAATGAACATTTTATTTTTCTCTCAATGTTCACAACTGAGAAACCAAATAGTCAATTGAGTTTAGTCTAGGTTCCTGTCAAAGGAGCAGAATTACACTAAAAAAAAAAAAATTTATCCCATTCAGCAAAAAACTCAGTTATCGTTCGAGATTTACAAAACAAAAGATCCAAGTGACCATTTTTCTCCATTCACCTCGATTGTTAACAAATTTGAAGAATGCAAGTAAGATCTTTTAGTAAATTGTAATAGTGCTTTTATTGGCGTGATTTTTTTCCAACTTATCTGGGTGTGTTTCTTCGAAACGAATTTTTTTGTTTCGGATTTTGATGGGNGGACTGAAATTACCTCCAACCCCCCCCCCCTGCTAACAGGGTTTAATTGTTTCAATTTCAATTCTTCAGAAACGTCGAAATTGAAAACAAAAAGTCGTTTCAATGAAACACACCTGGATAAGTTATAAAAAAAAACATGTCAAGAGACAAACATGTCAAGCGCTATTAGAAATCTATTTGCTCACGAGGTATTTTCGAAATAACGTTCCGTTTAGCTCCTTTTGCTCATTTTTATTTTAATCGAGTTGATCATTTAGCTGTTGATATGTTCAAAGCGAAAAAGGGGTGAGTTATCGTAAAGTTATCAATCAAATCATTTATCAGTTTCTCAGAAATGAGAATACCTGCGGTAATTCTATAGCACTTTTCTTGACACGTTTTTTTTTTAACTTATCTGAGTGTGTTTCTTTGAAATGACTTACTGTTTTCAATTTCGACGTGTTTCTTGGGAATTGAAATTTCGATATAAAAATTGAACGCTATCAGGCAGGGGCGGTTGGGGTGGTGGTGGTGAGGGGTTGGAGGTTATTTCAGTCCCCAAGAAACACGTCAAAATCCGAAACAAAAAAATTCGTTTCGAAGAAACACACTCAGACAAGTTGGAAAAAAATCGCGCCAAGAAAAGCGCTATTATCACGGGAACCTTTCTTGTACAAAATTTCCAAAGCTGCAAAAAAGGTTTCTACAGGGGAATGGTTAATTTGAATTGAATAAATTGTTTTATTTTTAAATCTAACAGGATTTATTCTTAATGAATGAATTAGTCATTTCATATAATTAACCCATTTTTAGTGAAATAAATATACGAATTTATTCATTTACAACAAGAATATAGTTGAAATGAATAGAGAAATTTCAAATAGTTTTATTTGAGTCAGGAGCGTCAGTACTCTAACTCGATAATTTTGTATAATTTCTTAAACGTTTATAACTTGTGGTAAATTTTACCACAAACCTCAGTTTATGATATAAACTGAAAGGTTTATATCATAAACCTTTCAGTTTCCATAATTTTAATGAGCCTCATTAATTCGTCTCATCTTGTCCTATGTTTCCCATTCCTATGAACATTCTATCAATGTTCCTTTTCATTTTTTATTATCAGGGCGAGAAGATTCAAACTATCCTCAAGGCCGCCAATGTCGATGTCGAGCCGTACTGGCCAGGTCTCTTTGCCAAGGCCCTCGAGGGTGTCAACGTGAAAGACCTCATTACCAACATCGGATCCGGTGTTGGAGCCGCTCCTGCTGGAGGTGGTACGTATCTCACCATTTTTTTTCTTTCAGAATGTTCACCTCCTTCCATCCACCTGATGAGTCAATCCCACTACTGATCAGGTCAGCGATAGTGAGAAGATAAAATTGAAAGTGAGGAGTTGTCGGGTTTAAGATGCTTTACGTTTAAACCTAGCTCCTCAAGAACTACAAAAAAATGTTGATTAATTTATTTCAAACAGGTGATGATTAAAAATCGATGTTCAACAGAATTACAACCTGAAAACTAATTCAATCATTCATTTTAGTGATTTTGTTTATAGATTCATTTATTAATCTTTTACATCAAAATTCAAACGTAGAATTCAATTGAATTGTTCAACTTTAGGATTAAATTTATTTGTGATCAATTAATTGTTTCAATACGTTTCATCATTTTCTTCACAGCTGCCGCTCCAGCTGCTGCAGCTGGTGGTGACGCTGCCCCGGCCAAAGAAGCCGAGAAGAAGAAGGAAGAACCAGAGGAGGAATCCGACGATGACATGGGCTTCGGTAATTAAAAAACTCCGTTTCTCGTTTATTTTCTCTCTTTTATTATTCATTTTTGCCATTGGATTTGGACGATTATTCAAGCATGTATTAGCTACCGAAGAACCTCATGAGGACAGATATAAAGGAATGATAATGATAGAAACTTTACTTTCGATGTTCAATTGAATTATGCGATAACTTAGGTATCAATTTTTTTTTGTGTTCACAGGTCTCTTCGACTAAGGGAGTACCCTGGAGTGTACCTGTATTTTCTATTGTGCAGATTTTGTACCATGAAAAGACGCTAAAATTAAAAAAAATTTAAGAACCGAAATTACTTTTATTATTTTATTCTCACCATTTTCTCTAATTTCTTTAATTGAGAATCATTTAAAATATGTTCTTCTTTTGTTGACTGAAACCATGAATATTTTTATTTAAATTGCTTGATTTAGTTGGTAAGAGGAGAATTTGGATTGAAAATTATTTGGATTGAAACAATATTTTTTTTGTATTCCATTTTCATTCTGATGGATATTACGATGAAAAAGTCAATATGTTTATTATTTTATCTCCAGTAATTTTGGGGAGAATTGAAGAATACGTTTTGAGGAATTGGAAAATTAGCAAAAATTGAATTCCCACGTTCATTTCACGTTGTCCTTTTGTCATTTTTAAAAGGCATTTCCGGAGAATTCATCTTTTATTTCTTTTTATTCTCTTAAGTGGGAATTCTAATCTTCTATTTAATCAATTGAAAAATAAATAATTTGTATGTAGACTCTTCCTTTGTTAAATGAAACCTCAAATACGTTTATTTCAATTGTTTAATTTCGTTTAGAAAATGAAAATTATTTGGATTCAAACAATTGATTTTTTTTATTCAATGAAAAAGTCAAAATGTCTATTATTTGCTCTCTAGGAATTTTAACAAATTTTTAAAAAAATATTAATAGAACTTTTATTAATAAAACTTGAATATTCAACTTCATTCTACCTCTTTCCTCCTAAATTGCCTCTGTACTACGTAATTAGTCAATTACTTAGATCATTATTCTGAATATAATCTAAACCACAAAAATATACTCACGACATTTCGCTCTCCAAAAACTTCTGATTTATCCAAAAAATAGCGATGTAACAATGATTAATTACACCATGAAAAATAATAAGGAGAAGCGGTAGGTCTCGAAGTGTGTCCGAGTGGTACACAAGGAGAAATATTCACTCTTCATTGGTCGTTGCTCTGTTCTGTTCTGTCTCTCGTTCATTATCGTAACTTTCCTGATGATGAGAATGTCGTTACTTAGTGACTATGATAATGACCTCTCTCGTTTGTCGACTCCCATCAGTGGCACCCACTGTACGGAGGCGCCTTTGCCAGCCAGAGCTCGATGGAAAAGCTCGCGCTGGCACTTTTTGGAGACCTCGCATTTCGCCAGTATCTCACCACTCGTTTTTACGACTGAGAATTCTAAAGTACAGGTGGATAAGGTGTCACCACCAAGATCGAATGTAAGTACGTCGTTCCATACAGGATTCTGTGGGTCTCGACAGATTACTGTTTTCTTCTTTTTGAAACTTTTGCCATCTTTGAAAATTGCGACCTATGGAATTGATTAATCAGAAAAAATCTTATACGTATATTTACCCAGTCCAGTTCAACCATTTTTGTTATTACTCTTGACTGGACAATGATCCGACATTAACAAACAAAGAAAGCCGTTCAAAAAATTAAACCCTGAAAACATTCATGTCTTAAGGAGATACTCCTTCTTCTCGTAAGTGACCAAGTGTGCAACACCAAAAAGGCAATTAACCAGATCAGAAAGATTGAATACAGGCGATAGGTTTGCGATTGAGCTTATGGAATTGAGGTGTGCTATGAGAAGTGTTTGGAGCGAGCGATTGTTTGGAAAATTAGAATGTCTATGTGAGTTGGAGGTTTTGAGTGACGCGTGTGGCCTGGGTGAAGAGCTCGGCGGATGATCAAGAGCAATTGTTATCGTTACTGACACCCAAAGTCTATATGATTTTATCCCTGTGATTTTATATATTTCATCCGGTTTCGACTATTCTACAGTCATACAAAAAATTTCCCATTTGAACCTTTAGAATTATCTCACCATCCACCCAGACAATCACAATTTTCAATTTACCTTCACATAAGTATCCGAATTCTGCGTTCCTGAGTCATCAACAATCACCAAATTTATAGCCCTGATGACGATCACTGTCAGCTTAGCAGCACTGGCGTCATTACATAAGGATACCATGAGTTCCCCCAGTGGATCAGATCGGTAGACACTTCCCTCGGCTCCATATCTATGGATAGGCCTCATCAAATTCATCGGGGATTCGGTCAGAGTCTCTTCTCCATTCGGGGGCAATGGCAATCGCATGTACCCCAGTCCTCTGTGTTTGGCCGTAGCATCGAAATCGTACAACAGCACTTCCAGCGTTGTTCCCGTTAGAGAAGTTACTTCGAACTTAAACTCTTCATTGAAAACTGAGAATAAAAAAATTGGATAAATCAAGACAACGAAAGAATTGAAATATTATAATTATAATAATTATTATCATCATATGTGGACGTCCGCATGAAAAGGGACCACTTTGGCACTATTGGAGTTATGTATATTCCCATAATCTTGATCTGATTCTGAACATTTAGAGCCCAGAATGAACTTGATAGAGTAAAGAGTGACGACGCTAACGAAGATCGAAAAAATAATTTAACATGGGTTTAAATGGGAGTTGGCAAGAGAAAAACGTGAATATCTCAGAAACTAGAATCGACAAAGTGGTCCCTTTTAATGCGGCCGTCCACATATATGGAATTCTGGGAATTCCTCAGGTAATCCATAGACCATCAAAAACTTCAGATTAAGCCTGAATCATACAAACATCAAGAGTCTTGATCCTTTAATCCATAATTAACAAAAAATTATCCTGTTAGTTGTCGTTTCGTTAATCATTTTTATATCGTATAGAAATCGTACAGAAATAATTTGTATAAAAAGTATCCGTATAGAAACATCCGAATATCATATAAGAGAATCCTATAGAAATTCTATCCGTAATCCGTATAGGAAATTTCTATACGATTTTTTCATGTGTTGGGGGAGATCATCCGAGGTCATTGCAACATAGTCATTAACCAGCCTCCCGTAGTACTCTCTTATGAAATTCACTTCGTGCTTCTGGGCAAAAGATGGTAGGCCACGTGAAAAGACGACACGAATTTTTTCAGATTTTTTGGGCCACTTTTGAGGCAGCATAACTCTTCGAAAATTGTTATGGGACAATCCTCGTGGAAAACGCCATGAAGTTAACTTTTACGATATTCTCGCGGAAATATTCTAATTTTCATGATTATGTCCTGGAACATGTTCTCAAAAAAGTCAAGAAAATGTGGAGTATTTTTCCGTATTCCTCAGTTCATTCGTTACGTAATTAGAAAACGTGATTTTGGGTGAAAATGACGATTTTCAACCGCGTTTAACTGCCTTCGAAAATGGACTAATCCTTCGCGAATTCCGCCAAAAGATAATGCATTTATCTTTCCATAATCTCAATAAACGATGAGCGTTTCTGTTTTTTCTAAACCTGAAAAAAATGCAAAAGAAAATCGTCTGATTTTGGGCAACGACAAGTGTTTGGATATTGTCCACTCCTATAATGAGGACCATATACCTGAAATGGAGACGGCCATCCAGCTGACTAGACCCTTCCTCGAAGGTTACTACGCCTTTTATTACCTCTAATATATCATAGCCTACCTACATTTTTTAATCTACAAAAATTACATTTTCAAAATAATTTTATTACGAAATTACAGTCGTGGTATTGCCCATTTTACGACGATTCTGGTGAAGCTTGATTGACGAAAATATATCGATTTGAAGTGATGTTTGAAATAAATTTGTAATGTAATTTTAATTTCAAATTCTTTTTCAATTCTAACGAGAATACTGAAATGTGACAATCATCAGCAAGATTATCGATTAATCATAAAAATGATGTTTAATTTGTTTAATTTCATTGATATATGGAAGATTCAGGGAATTGAATTTATTAGAAATCAAATCATTATTTTATTGATTCATAAGCACAATTGGTAACACAAATGCCACATAGACAAGAGATACCCTTGAAAGTAAGTCAATAGCTACGGCTAAAGTCGTCGAGTTTATAAAAATGAAACAATTCAGTAGCGAAGTGGTAAAACGGTATAAGTCAATTTTGACTATTGGCCAGTTTTCAATGAATACCTTCAGTGAAAACTTTTTTGGAGAGCCGATTGAGATCTACAACAAAAGTGTGTTTGGTGAGGAACTAGGTTTACCCTGGCGGATCTATCGATTGTAGAATCGAGTTGATCAGTATATCGATTCGTATGCGAGTGTAGTTCGATTCAGATCTCAAATTATTGATGGAATCGAAGATGAATCAACTTTATAGGAAGTCGATAGCTAGTGAATTTCGAATGACAAAAATTTATTGCACCAAAACTTGAACGACTCATGGGGTAGTCGATTATGAAAGACTCCTTACGGTCGGACCAGGATCGACTTGAATATAGTCGATTGACTCGATTGCCCGCATATTATTCACATCAATCGACCCATAATCGAGCAGTTGTTGAGTCGTTTCATATAAGTGAATAATATGAAGTCAATCGAGTAATAATCGACTCAAGGATCAGTCGATTCGCCCAATGGAATTATGAAAGCTATTATGAAACGACTAAACAACTACGGTCGATGTCAAAAGTAGAGACCACTCGAAATAAATGCCTATAACTCGACGAAAAAAAATCGCAAAAATATGAGACCAATTGCACTGTGTAATATAAGTATTTCACTCGCCCAATACGAAGTTTCAAATTTTTAATTTGATTAGTTTATTTATAATCGCTGTGAGAAGACGGTAAACCCCCCGATTTTCAGGGTCCGTAAAAGTCGGCAAACTTTGAACCGCTATCATAGGTACGAATTTTTTTTTTAAATCGTCAATTGTTTTAGAGATTCGTTGAACCCTTGGGAAGCCAACAAGAGAAGAAAAAACTCAATATTGTAATAATCATTTATTTAATTAATAGAAATGTCGACTGCGGCTATCTCGTTGTTGAATTGCCGAACCATTTAACGTTTAACCGTTTAATCGTTTTAACAGCACTTCTTTGGGGAACTTTTTCGATTTTTTTTTAAATCAACGGAGATTGTTTATTAGAAAAATATTGACCGACTGTGTTTTACATTGAATTCAGAGTGCATCTTTTTTTTGAGGTCGGTTCGGCAATTCTAGAATTTTCGGGACTGATAATCAGGATCTCGCTAAAATTAATTATTGATTCATTAATTGTTAATTAAAGACACTGGAGCAAGTATAATATAGTACAAAGCATGGATGGAGGGGAGGGGGGGGGGGTAATAAATTGGACGACGGAGCAAGATAAGATAATCTGGGGATCGCGGGTGATGGACGAATTATATCGTGGGGTAAAATGGGATGAGTGGTGAACTAAATGACAGGCAGATTAGCTAGTGGGGTAAAACGGGAAGGTGAGGTAGAATGAAACAGCCTGGACCATGGGTGAATTTGGGCCGCGGGGGTGTAGGAATTGAGGTTGTTGAGGGATGTAACAATTCACTAACAAATGTAATTCAGAATATAAATTACAGTTTAATCGAGACGTTTAGAATATATATACAAAAGAGAAAGAATAATCAAAGTGATCTGATCGAAGGTCAGTGTTAGACTCTACTGACTGTCTTAAACTGCGTAAGACGGTAATTTGGATACGCATGACAATAGGTGCGAGCGAGAGGTATTTTATACTGGGCGCGTGACAGAGCGCGATGATGTCACCGATGTCCAGTCGTCTCTCAGCGTTGTCGTATCCGTGCGTGTGTTACGCGTTGGTGTTTGTGTAGCGAGGCGCTACATGACTCCCCTGCTTAAGTGAAAAAGGTAGTTTTTCAGCACTGCAACAGAAAAAAAATTAATCTCGGAACAGGTGAAATATATTAAGCAGGTGAAAAAAAATTTTTTGATGAGGAAATTTAGACAGTATAGACGTGGATTGTCGGTCTGTTCGCGAAGTTTACGCGTCTCCTCGGCCTCTGAGTCCTGTTCGCCGTGCTCGTGCTCGGCTGCGGCTGATTCTGTTGTTGAGGCTCTTCTGGTACGTCTGGCGGTGGAGGCTGTCCTTGGACCTGGTCCATGTCCTCCGGCAGTACGTACGCTGGTTTCAATCGGTCGATGGAGATCGGTGTATTCTTGTAGGTACTCAATCCTCCGGACTTGTACCAAATGACGAAGTATTTGTCATGACGACTGATTACGCGGCATGGGCCGATGTATGGTGATCGGTATGCCATTCGCACGTGGTCATCGCGGACAAAAACATGTGTACACGTCGCTAGATCCTTGAAGATGAAAGTTGAACGTGTACCGTGACGTGCAGCGGGAGTCGGTGCGATCCTGCGGAAATGCTCGCGTAGATTTCTCACCAATTCCGGTGCTGCTGCTCGTTGGTTCGATGGGATGAGGAATTCTCCGGGTAGACGGATCGGTTCCCCGTATGTTAGCTCGGCGGGAGTCGTTTGAAGGTCCTCTTTCCACGCGGATCTCAACCCTAGAAGTACCAGGGGAAGTGCGTCGTACCAAGCTTCGCCATGACATCGCAGTGCTGCTTTCAGTTGGCGATGTATTCTCTCAACCATGCCGTTTGATTGAGGATGAAATGGCGTCGTCATCAGCCTCTCGGTGCCCAGAATTCGTGTAAGCTCCTTGAAGGTGTCTGAGAAGAATTGACCGCCCTGGTCAGATGTAATTCTCAGGGGGATGCCGAAGCGCGCGATCCAGTGATAAAGAATCGCATTGACTACTGTTGGCATCCTCGAGTCGATCAGTGGAACTGCTTCTGGGTATCGCGTAAATCTGTCGA